CCGCCCCCACCGCCGCCACCGCCGCCGCCGCCGCCACCACCACCACTACCACCACCACCACCACCACCAGCACCACCACCACTGATCCGCTGTGCTGCAACGAGACTGACGAAAAAGAGCCATGCCAGTGTAGTAAAACCTAGATGTTAACATTGGGCAAGTGGCAACTCGCCTACGGTTGCCCAAGTCCCAGCAAACCAGCGCGGGTAGACGAGATCATCACCTGACAGCACACCAAACTTTGAATAGAAAGTCTGTGATAGCGCATCACTCGCCGCATTATTGGCTGGACGCTAGTAAACACTGGTATGGATTGAAATGACTGGCAATCATTCCAAGTTCAGATCCTTGATGAAATCAATGTCATTCAATGTCGCTGGGCATCGGGCCGAGCAAGCCCACAGACACAGGCGAGGCTGCTGTTTGGACACGGTCCTCACAAGCACAAAGCTCTGCCGAGCACGTCACGTTAGAAACCACGCATTGTCTCTGTCACTTCCTCAGCTCCGGCGTGGGAAGTTGGCGCTGTCGACACCACCAGTGCCGCTGCAGTAGCTTGACGCCGACGCAGCTGGCACGACTCACTGCCAAGGAAGACCACTGGAAGCCTCGCGCAAGCAAGCGAAGCAGAAACGAGGGCCAGTGAAATTTCTGCATCATGGTCAGATGCAAAACTCCTGCCTTCAGCATCTCCTGAAATTGACTTCTAATGCTCCCAAACATTTCAGGGCTAGGATGAGTTCTTGCCATGTGCTCGTCCACATAAACAACAATACCCATCACAATGGCAACGTCAGCAAAGCCAAAAGTCAAACTGCGCTAGCGCATGCTATCGCCATTGAACTTTGCCCAGCAAGATGACTTATCAGTTGGACGAACAGCATCTATAGAAACTGGTTGTCATGACAGCTTGTGTACCGACTGTGTGGGAGCTTGTTAGGTTAAGTCATTGGCCGCGGCGTCTACACATATATGTATATATGTACATATGTATATATATATGTGGTCACTTCCCCAGAACCAAAATTGAAGCAATTTTCAACATTTCGTCTCCTTACAAAGACTTTGAGACCGCAGATACTTCTCAAAAACTTAGAATTCCTTCATCGGCCTGTGTCTTGGGCATAACGATGCAGGATGAGGTTTGGACTTCAATCTAATTTCAGGAAAAAAGTTGGCCAGGCCAACTTTTTCCAAAATTTCCACAGCTTTCCAAACAATCAAGTGGAGACACCAGGTTTTGCTCAAAGTCAGGGGATTGCGGAAAAGTTGGGCGGGCCAACTTTTTCCAAAATTTCCACGTTTTCCAAACAACCAGGTGGAGACCCCAGGTTTTGCTCAGACATCTCGGAACTTGTGGAGAGAGTTTGAAAAAATGGAATTGGTGGAAAAAGTTCGTCCAGCCAACTTCTTCCTGTTTCCTTGAATTTCATTACAGGAACTGGCAAAAAATGACAGTGCCAACTTCTCCCACGCATTCCTTCGTACAGAGATCACCATGTGAAAAATTGAAAACTAAAAATCTCCCGGCTATCATCTTCTATGGATTCCAGGATCGTTTGAGTTCACTGCAGGACACACATCCCAAAAGATTTCCCTTACCGTCATGGGCGGCATGGGAGCAGGTTGGGCCCATTAACAGCGTTTTGTATGTTTCGGATGGACAGACATAGGTAAAGTTCATTCTACCAATATTTCCCATGTCTTGCATAGCTTCTAAAATGCGGGCCACGGATTTCAAGCGATCCATTTATGTGCCTGTTTTGCCAGAACCACTAGACTTGGTCGGTCCTGCGCACTGAATTTCCTTTAATTCATCAGACAATAATGACAAATGAAGTTCTTTGCATGACGTCTCAATCTAATCAAAGTGCTTGTTTTTCACCATTGGGACGACGCCCTTCTTTTGTGTTGGTTGTTTGGCGGGTGTTATGTCTGTGAAGCTAAATCAGGGATTCTAGAGGAACTTTACTTCGAATTAGATGTCTCCCGTTTTGTGAAGTGTCTATGTCTCTTCTCCTTCTTCAAGGGCTGAGGATGGTACTACTACCCTCCGGGGGTACTCCCCCAGCCCTGCACACGAGTCCAGGCGTTCGGTCGGGTACCTAGGAGGTCCGACGTGCTGCGCGTCTTCAAGGCATTTCCAACAGAAACTACACATAGTAAGACCTTGCATGAACACAGACCAACCCACTCGAAGAGCCTCGCATACAGGCTTCCGTCCTGCTCAACTGGGCTGTGAAACGGATCGGCCAAGCAGGACACTCCCTCTCCCATGCAGCAGCCAAACCAAGTGCAGTACTCCCAAACGAACACCTAAACAACAAAATAGGCCCTAGCCACACCCCAGTGTGCTGTGGAAGTGTACTCTCTCGTCGGCTGGCCCTACGCCCATGCTCTGCTGGCACACACGTGAATATTTTGGCTCGAGCATCCGAAAAACTGGCGTACCCTCATCTAGCCAAGGCTGGAAATCCCCCCCCCATGCAGCACAGGATAACGCCGGAAATAGTTGTCATGTGCAAGGCTGGATGATGTACAAACTTCCGACTGATGTTTGGTGCCGCTGCCTCTGAAGGAACACCTAGCTGATTCTCACGCTACACCCAGAAAACCCAGCAAACAACTCCAAAATCATAGAAACACTAAACTATGTCATGCATTCCTGCCTGACCATCTGGACAGCTGGTTTGAACATGGATTCGCCAGATTGGATTTCCGTGCATGCTTTTGCTGCATGAATGTGCGTGGCTCTTCTTGGATTGCGGAACAATACATGACTGCTCTCCCTGCATACCCTACAGACTAGTCCCTACTCAGTTTCGAGCCTTGCGCACTGGTACTGTACATGTCCGCATGGCTCTTCCGTAACTGCGAAGCAACAGCCCAAATGCTTTGCCCCCTCCCCGTTGGGCATGCCAATTTCTTCAATTTCGTTTTACGAGGAGGCGCCCTCAGGCTGTTGTTTTGTTGAGAGCGCATGGGGATCTTACTTGGAGCTTTAGTTACCCACTCAGTCACCAGCATCATGCCAAAAAGGGGGCTACCAGTCCACACGCAACTATGGGGACCACCAACCTACCACGAACAACATGGCTACAAAAATGTTTGTGGTCTAGCTCCAAAGCACCTTTGAGGATGTAGGTTTGCTACCTTCCTCGCGCTCATGGTGCAAAAGCAAGTGTTGCGTTGTACCTTTGCCATGCCAGCTCCACTTTGCACCACCGTTCCTGTTACTAAAACGCTGTTGTGGGACGGCTCATTTTGCTCAACACAATGCTGAATACCTACTGCTACAGGCACCACTGTCTATATATGTCTGTCTTTCTTTCTTTCTTTCGTTCAGGCTTTGGAGGAAGGACTGATGTCCTCCTCCGGGCGTCTATGCCCAGCCCGTGTTGGGCTGTGAGGTTAAGCTACCCCTCATGGTTGCAGAGTGGGGCCTGCATATTTGAATCCCAGAATGCTCTAGCCTTGGATTAATGATGATAAGGGGCCCCCACTTCTGTAACTTGTCCTGCCAGCTGGTATCACTGAAGGGTGAAAATATGTCTGTCTCTCTCTCTCTCTCTCTTTCTTTCGTTCAGGCTATGGAGAGAGGGTTGGTTCCCTCCCTCCGGGCGTCTCTGCCCAGCCCGTGTTGGGCATGTTCGTCTGCTAAGACCCCTCGTTGCCCCAAGCACCAGGAAACGTTTTTAGGGGGAAACTGACGTCAGAGTGTGTAAGCCTGATTTTTCGAGGTGCTGGAGCTTCTACACGGTGCTTTGCCCTGGCCGTCGCACTGCTCACACTTGGGTAGTTGCTTTTCAGGGGACAATGTGGTACACGCCTATCTGTACAAAAAGTGTGGGCAGTTGGCTAAGGTCAAGCTGGTGCTGCCTGCACTGTGTAGGATGTTGTTGGCAAACAAGAGTGCTCACTAAAGTTGGGGACCCCTTCAAAGCCTACCTTCACAAGATCATCCCTTCTTTCCCACTGTGCAGGATGTGCATCGCAAGCGGTATCCCTGCGAGTCTTACTTTGAGCCCCCATAGCACGCTGTTTGTTTGTGGGGTTAACTGTGCACAACAGCTTAAGAAAGGCGGTTTACACCCCGACTGTACTTGGTTGCGTGGCTATGTTGGCTACACTCTGGCTTCAGGTCTGCGTGGTGCGTGTGGTTGGTTTCCCCAGACTATGGTTGCCTAGCCGAGAGTACTTCCGTAGCTTAGGCTGAAATCCAGTAGGATGATCTACTCTCAACTTGTCAACCTGTGGGGCTGTAACCTCAAAAGTTGGGTGACCTGGCTGCTTGGTGAAACTTGTTGAGGTGTATCCATCTTGACCTTACTTTGGTATTGGCTAGGGGGAACTAGAAATTGCCGGCTGGGGGTTTCTACTGCATTGGCTGGATACTTTCAAGTTGTGGTGTGAGACTTGCCTTATCTCTACTTCAGAAACTCTCGTGGTAGCACTCAGTCCTCCTGTGTGTCGCCTACTTGCTCTCTCTCTCTCTCTCTCTCTATCTATATATACAGGGGTTTACAACACTTCAATTTGCATGTTATTAGAAACTGGGGATTCTATAAGGTTTTCATGTAGGCCCTAGTTCATGTAAAACGGAATGATATCAAAAACTGGAAATTCAACAATCTGGTAACTTGGTTTCCGTAGCAGGCAGACACCTTCCCATCTGGATCAGAGGAGGGTGAGCATAGATGGTCCCGGCTCTCGATTCGCCAGTCGTTTCTGGTGCCTCAAAGCCACAATCCTCACAGCTGTCGTCACTTTTGGCCCCTTATGCTTTCTTCGCATCTCAAAAGTACCAACAATCACAGCGATCGGGGTTCTACTCATCGCCCCCCTCGCAAATGTCAAAACAAAATTCACATTTCGTTGAATTTTAAAGGTAGTCACAGCGATTCGCTTGGTCCTCATATGATACAAACTTTCTTTAAAGCCATAAATCTCTGTAAACCTTCTTGAATCTTCTATGAACTGCTATAAACCCTCTATAAACGATCAATGTAAATCATAAGACCCAGACCACAGGCCTCAGGACGACGGGAGAGTAATAGGTTATGAACTCTCTACTATAAACCAGGCCACATAACCACAGGGGAAGCTGAGGGCTAATAGTTTCATTCCAACTTAGAGCCCAGAAGATAGCCACCATACACGGAGGGGATGTTCCTAACCCCAAACCCCCAACCACGCCACAGAGAGGAAGGGAGGAATCTCAATTTTCCCAATATGCCTAGCCCAAAACTATCAGCTGTACCGTGGGTTGGGGGGAACCCTTGGAGGGGGGCCGGGCCGTGTCCGGATCGTATGTGCACCATATCATGTATAGCCCATCCCTCCAGTTTCCCTCAGCGTGGCACCAGATGTCTGTGAATTCATCTGCCTCGCTATCTAGACATTGCCAAAACACAAGCCAAATAGGCCGACAGCGAGTGATGCTGTTCTACTTTATGCATGAAGCGGTTTGAGAAAGACGGGTCACAAGCTGTACGCTCAGGCCAACATCAAACGAAGAAACTCGACTTCAAAGGCAGTTGTCAAGCCGCTTCGACAGGTGCGCAGCGTGCGCATGGTGGGAAAGAGGGGCCCGTAAACCCAGGCCTTGAGATTGGTCCGATGAGGCTCAAAGCCACGGCCAGGATCTGAAGCTTAAATCGACGCATGGCTCAAGATGAACACAGCGATAGTTATTGCTAAGCATGAAACTGCAGCTTGAACTGAGTCAGGACAGGTCGCATGCAATGCGCGTTGTTTCTGAAGCCATCTGCAGGTTTGGCTGCTTATCTGTACTTCGAGCCGTATCAATGAATGCGTACAGTACAGTCCACTGTCGATGTGTTTGATGCACTTCAAACTGGCACAATTACCTTTTGCCTTGCGCCTCTTCTGGCGAGTCCTGCGTCCCGGATGTGAAACTTTGGATTGACCTTAGGTTTGCATGGTTTGCACAGCAACTCATCGAAAGGCACCCCTGCTGATTTGCTTTCCAAATGGTTGCAGTCTGGCCAAAGTCGGTACTTTCTCAAGCCATCGCGTCTCAACTGTCAAATTCAACATCTACTTGCTTTAGGCCTCTCTTTGTTCAGTGCCATTGGCTGCAGCTTTTCTCATTGCCGCAGCAGAAATGGGAGAGTGAAGCGAGGTCCACGAGCTGCGAGGAGGAGGACGTGCGCTGGGGGACATGGAGACAATACGAGTAGCAGCAAAGACATCAACCACTGGGTACAAAGGCTCTGGGTTTGGCTCCAACTCGTGGGGTGCAAAAGCTCCATCTACTCTCACCACAGCCTCCCCATCCACGAAGACAAGAAGATCTCCGCTGAGCGTCACCAAAAATCCCACACGTGCACCAATTTGAAGACTGTCTGCGCGCCACGGGGTCCTTTGCTCGCAGCCATCCACGAAAACACAACCCCAGTAGCCGATGACCATGGTCTTGGGGATGCGCCAGGCTTTGTCAGGAACTCGCTTCAGGCCCTGCGGGGTTGACGAAGTAACTCCGATGCCCAAGCCTCCAACCCAGCCCGCAACTATCTCTTCCACAGTAATTTCGAAGTACCGGCCATGCTCTTGAAGTGGGATTGGCCCGGTCCCGACAGCCACCGACTGTCTGCAACCACGGAACCGCGTGGCTTTGTAGCCGTCCTCTGAGATCTCCAAGTTGACGCCGCTGGCCTGCGGACAAAACGGCAGGAGGACCTCGTTTGATTGCTTCAGTGGGACATAAGGTGGACCCGCTTGATGCAGGTCGTTGCTGAGAGTCTGCACAGGAGAAGATGCCTGCAACACTGACGCCACACGCTCTGCATGATGCAATGCCGCAGCGCTGCCCAGAGAGCCTTGTAGCCTCTCACGGAGACCGCTGACTTCCTCGTTCAAGCGGTAGATATGGCCGTCCTGGTCCTTGATCTTGTCCCAGAGGTTACCCGGTTCAGGCTCCGGGTCACAGTTGGGGTCAACGTCGGGGTCGTAGTCCAATCGAATTGTCGCCTGCTGCTGGATGGCGGCCCGAGTCTGCTGCATCTGGGACATCAAGTCTACGCGTGCTTCTAGTGACTCGAGCAATGCCAAGAACTGCATCTCGGCACTGTCATCAGGATCTTCCCAAGGGGTTCGCCAGGATCCATTCACGTTGGCGGCCTCATCACCCAGCTGAAAGTGCTCCTGCTGCGGATCATTGTCACCGTCGAAGTACTCGAACTCGTTGCTCACATCCTGCCACGCCTGAGCGGCAAATTGCCGTGGTGCATATCCTTCCTCCCCTCTGAAATGCTCGGCATAGATGCGATCTGGCGATAGCGGAGCATACATTGCTTCATTAGATCCATATATGTCAGGACTAGGATTTCCCATCATTGGGGCATAGACAGGTATGTGCGGCGTCTGGATGCTCTGAGCTTGGGGCATGGGCACTGGAGCTTGGGGCATGGTTTGTCGGATCACCACGCCTGTAGTGACACCATGCACCACGTGCACTGGCGTTGGTTGAATAGCTGGAGCACGTGCTGGAACAGCCCAAAGAGCACTCATGGCTCTGAAGAGGTCAATGGCAAAGGAAAAGAACCAAAAGATCTGTTTCTAGAAATTTGAAAACGCGTTGCAGAGGGGTGTCATTTTGAAGTTGCTTTAGAGTCAAAGGCTTGAGATGAGCAAAGCAAAGCCGGCCAAATTTGAGCCCAGGCTGCTTTCACAAAAGAATCACAGCGCTTCAGCACAATTTACCAGCTGCCGCAGCTGCTGAACCAGCTGAGGCTGAGACCAGCTGGCTAGCTGCTAGCATGCACAGTCGCTATCTCGTCTGCGGCCTGCATGATGGAAGCTGAAGATACCCTTCCGAAACGGCTACAAATTTTCATAACACACAGGAACCAGACGCCATGGCGCAGCCTTCTTCCTCGAGGTTGATTGCCTCAAACACATGCATCTTCCCTGCAGTCTGCACCCAGATCCATGTTGCTGTTTCAGGTGCGTGCCTCAGGGTAGCCAGACATATCAAGTCGGGCTGGATTTCGGCCCAACTCTTTCTGAGTCTGTATGATACCTTCACAAGGGGCAAGGCGGGGCAAAGTGCCAGGTCCTTGCTCTCAAGCTTCTCCACGAGTACGCTGCGCTGGCCTCGCACCAGCCTCAAAAAGATTTGCTCCACACCCACAGCTAAGTCCTTGCCAAAGGCCGGACGGCATTGCATTTCGCTCGCTGCGCACGGTGGAAATCTTCAACAGTCCTTCTCCCCGCCCTCATATTTGTTCCAATAGGCCGAGGTCTCCTCTCCCATCTCAACAGCACAACAAGAGGCATCCCCCATTCTTTGCAGACTTGGAAACAGCCACAAAAGGGGGGCAGCCCAGGGCTCTGTCCACATAGAGAAGGCCATTGCCTCTGGCGTATCCTGCCATGTTGCAGGCTTCAGCCATGCTTGTTGAACGCTGCAACGCTGCATCAAGATGTATCAAGATGCAAGTGAGTAATGATTACACCTTTTTTGACTTTGGTGGTACGCCGAATGCCGGTTGTCCTTGAGCTCTCTCCGTCGACACGGCTCTTTGAGCTGAAAGATCAGCCTTGGTGCCGACCTCAAACAACTCGCTCTCATTGCTCCAGGTTTGCTTCATGCTCCATCGCTAGCGTCGCTCGAGCAAGCAACTCAAAATCAACAAATGTAGAAATGTTTATCTGACCAATCTTCCTGATTGTCGGGATTGACCCAAGTCCTCGCGCATGTGAGGTAGAAGAATGCGCAGGTCTGGGAGGCCAGCCAATGCAACTACCACCTCCCGGCAACTCGTGTCACTTGGACGAGGACACCTCTTCTGCAGATAAGTCACACTGGGGTCCGTGTTCTCCCGCAGCTCTGCCAACCACTTGTCCAGGTTTTGGAAGGAACGTCTGCCCAGCAAACAGGTAACCCAAGCAAAATGCTCACAAAATGCAGCCAAGCATGGCACTCATTGGCGATGTCAAACACCAGCAGTGCCCCATCCGCGGCACGATAGTGACTGGCAGCGGCCAGTTTAAGAACGGGAACCCAGAGTGCGTGCTACTTCTGGCCTTTGCTTTGCGAGACACAACAGGCTGTACTTTGGAACGGAGGATGAGGAACTCGCAGAGTGCCGCTGATGAGGGACAGGACACTAGACTACCTTCAAAGGCCCGATATCCCTCGCGCAGAAAGCCAGACCTCCCCACGTTCGCTGCCCCATGTCAAGCGGCATCTGAACATCTTAAACCTGCAAGTACTCACGGAAGTCAACTTAGGGGCACGCTGCGTGGTGACAGATTGGAATTTCTCCTGACCAGCTGTATCCTCGGATGGCGCTGTACGGCATTTTGGGAATGCGTCCACCGGGTTTTGTTCTGTGGTCCCTGCCCATATTTGCAGAGGATACTGCTGGTTCATCAGCGGATCCATAAGGGTCCTAAGCTCCAAGCTTGCACAACCTTCTCTTTCAGCTTTCAGCTGGCGGCTGGTGGGGCTCATGCTGCTTGAAGAAAGAAATGCCCACCGTGGCTTTCGGATCTGCCAGAAGCCTTGGCGATCGGAGATGTTCGCAGTTTCTACTGCAATCCACGGCGGCTTCCGGCCTGATCTCACACTATTCAAGTGCTGAAAATACTTGTAGTCATAAGCTTATGCAGTACAGGCACGAATTGTTCATGAATCGGTAGACCAGGGCTGATTTGCCCACCTGCCAACATCACTCGTTCCGACCACACAGCACCGCATGCTCCAGGCATCACGCGAACAAACAGGTCAGCAGTACCGAGCTGTCTCCTATCAGAACCACTTTCATCCTGGCACGTGTGGGAGGCTTAGTGAGGTGCATGAAGGCGCTGCCAATCAAGCCATTACTTTTCCATGAAAAACTGTAGAGTTCAACTGAACAAAAAACGGCAGCCAGGCTTCGTCACTCAGGACGCGCAAAGCACACTTGATGCAGATATCATGTAGATGCTCTCACTGTAAGCAACGACTTTGGGTCTGCTCGAAGGTTAGAGCACTCGTGAACATGTTGTTGCGAAACCATTTCTTTGGGACTCATCTTAACTCGGGGCTTCAGAACCATCTGAGCCCACAGCTGGATGTTCAGCACACAGAATAACAGCAGCTGAAGCCAGACTCAGGCTCAAGTTTAGGCACCAACATCGCAGACAGCTGGTATGCTCGGGCTCTCCTTTCAACCCTTCTTCTGGTGCTTCTCCGGCAACTCCAGTCGGGCAGTTTTCTCATGCACTTTGGTACACATACACCTGTACATAATCACTCCAGTGTACTGCAGGAGAGCCTCTTCCGAACCAAATAAGATGCGTTGTTCAGAATGTTGCCGCCACAGCAAAGGAATCAAATCCAACACTCACATGCACTGGCTTCTCCCAGAGACTGGTGGATCACCGCGAGCCTGATCCCTTCTTTTGTGCAGCTGTCGTCCATGGTCTCATGATTACATAGAGCCCTTGTTGTTTTTGCAGCTTGTGCTTGAGAGTACATCACCAGTCAGATTTGGACAGCGGATCAGACTCTGAACTGTTCAAGTGCCATGAGAAGCTATCCACTCCTACCATGGTAGACAAGCGTCTACGGGACACAAGCTACTTTGTACAAGCACTGCCTTCTGCACTTTGCTGCGAATCATGCCTTCTCAACTTCCCTGGGCCTGCTCCGAAGCGGATTGGCATATGAGCAACAACAGAGTCTCAGTTCACAGAGATTCCAGCCCAGCGCAGAAAGCGTCATCCACGAGTTCCACGATTTTGCCCAAGCCTCGAAACAAAGCCTTATGGATACATCTCCCCAACAAGTTGGCAGCAAACTCAGGTGTCAAGCAAGTCCACAGCTCAGGCCTTTTGTGCGGCCCTCACGGAACAGAAGCGTCTCACCGAGGCCTGACTTCAACTACTATGCAAAATTGTTTTCATGGCAGCTCCTTTCAGGTACAACTCAGCTGCGCGCAGACATACTCCGCATGATAGCACCATCGAAATGTGACGATGGCCTCCAGCAGCATTCCGAGACTACGACTGTAGGAGACCACTCCAAGTCAGCTCGTAAAGCTTGCCACCTTGTCCCCAGAGCGCAATAGCTCGCAGGACATGTTCTTGACAGCCGCACATTGGCCTCAGCATCGGAAGCCAACTCTCAAAGCATTCCATGCAACTTGAAACATGCAGGGGTCCCACGAATAATGCCGCAATGGATCATAGCCTGCAGCATTTGCACGTTCGCTTGTAGATGTGAACTGCAGCAAAGTTTAGCTTCAGCTCTGAAAATCTGCAACGAGCTTGTGAAAGACTCCTGGAATCGAAGAACGAGCCTGGCCTGATATCCTTCCCTAATGGTGGTGGCGTGGTGCAGAATTACCACCTGCTGCCATGATAGAATCAGGTTTGGCGCAGGTGTCTTCAGGCGGCCGCCATATGTCCCACCATGCAAAACACATGGCATCTCCAATCTTTTAACACCTCCGCAGAAGCAGCTGTGGCGAGCTCTTGCCAGAGTTGGGTGCTGTATCCATCACTTCTTGCCCTTGAAATTCTTGGCACCTTGGAAAAACAGCTGACAAATCAAATTCCAGTACACTTTCAGTGGGTGCAATTAGGGAGGCGCCGCCAGCAGGGGCCCCTCCACCCTTTGGCAGCTTTGCGCCCTGAGCTGCTTTGACATCACCGAAACAAATCTTGCCCAACTGTGCCAGCCTTGTCAGCCTTTCCCTTGGCCACCGCTGGCTTGCCTTCACATGAACCGCTTGTGTCGCTTGTGAGCTTCTTTGCTTCTTCGCCGGGAAATTTGCTTGTTGTCCACATAAAAACCTTGAGCTCCTGGCTAGAGGCCGCCTTCTTCTTCTCGGCTTGCTGCTTGGCCTTTGCTTCCTGAGCTCCGCGCATGAGAACTCTCCAAAAGAACTTTGATGACTCCACACCTTGCCTTGGCAGCCTGTTCGCGTGCCTGGCGCAACTCTGGCCTCATCGCCTTCCTTGCAATTCGACAGACTGCTTCGGGCTTCAGAGCGTGTGGCGCTGTTGCAGCTTTGCTGCTTCTTCTTGAGGTCATCCAGAGACATGCCAACAATCGCCTTCTGGAATTTCTGAGCCTTTGAGTCCCAAGCAAGACAAAGTCTGGACTGATCAATTTGGCGGACAAAATTTACAGCAGCAGGGTGTTCTTGCAATGCGGCCTTCCTGGCTTTCTTCTTTCCACCCTCTTCCACCTTGCCCTTCTTGTTCTGTCGACGCCAGGCTTGAGTCCAGCGAAGCTTCACCTTGCTCGCGGCACGGGGCAACAAATCACGGATCCATGGGCAGTATGTGCATTGGGGGGCGGCAGCAGACTAGGGGTGCAAAAGATAAGCAAACTATGCGTAACTCCACCCCATGCACACATAGACATCTCTACTTGATTGCTAAAGAAACAGCTTTCCATGGCCGTCTTTGCTCACTCTGCAGGTGGTTTAGGCAAGAGGCTGGCTTTATGCGCTGGTGGTACAGTGAGTCAGCTTTGGCAGAGATGAAGAAGCTCACCTCCGCTCATTCGGCGGTAACATGCTCTTCCTGAACTTAGTTCCTTGCCTTGGCATCCTTGGCCACAAATTTCTGGCCATGGCCAGGATAGATTCTGTACCTCAGATCGACAAGCTAGCTGCGCACAGGAAATTCCATCACCTTCTGAAGTCAGAAACTCTGGGTCCAAAGAGCTCTGTGTAGCTGCACAAGTCAGTCTTAATGACCATGGCTTTGGCACTCTCGGAATCCTACACCCGCCACAAACAGCTGCACACATATCATGCACACAGAGCGATGCAGCACAGTGTTCGCTCGCATGCACAACTTCGAAGCAACTGCGTCAAGAGTTGTTTGTCCGCTGCAGCAGCTGTGGTGGCGTTTCATCGTGTTTGCAAACCGCGCTTACTTCTTGCCCTTGAAGTTCTTGGAACCTGAAGGATCGCATAGCAGCTGAAGCTTACTCGTGAAATGCCATCTCGCAAGCCAAGACACCGCCAGCCGGGGCACCTCCGCCCTTTGGCAACTTCGCACCCTGCCATCAGCCCATGCTGAACAAATCTGAGGACAACCCTCCGCACATTGCTGTGATTGGGCTTAGTTCGAAGATCCGGCCTTGTCTGCCTTGCCCTTGGGAACAGCCGGCTTGCCTTACATCTTATCCAAGTAAAGCATACCTTTCTGACTTAACCTCAAAGCAAGTCAAAACTCGCCACCACTATGGCCTGTATCCAGGCATATGCGCCTCAGTTAACGAGGAGCCTCAGCTCTCTGAGCTTGTTACTTGAAGCCGCCTTCTTCTTTTCCGCCTGCTGCTTGGCCTTTGCTTCCTGCGCCGAATTTGCTCTGTGCATTGGCGAGGCGATACGAGGCGTCTACCCTTCCAGCTGGTCATGCACAACAAACATTTCTGAAGAAGAACTTCTCTCCTTTGCCGCCTGCTCTCGTGCTTGGCGCAGCTCAGGCCTCATTGCCTTCCTCAGAGAAAGTGGACTTTGAACTATAACTTCAAGATTCAGAGACCATACAAAGAAATCAGACCTCCAAACCGCAACATGGGCACTTCTTCTTGAGATCGTCCAAGGACATGCCAACAATTGCCTTTTGAAACTTCTGGGCCTGCAGAAACACAAAGAGGTTCCCAGCATGCTCTTGACCCAAAACGCATCACGGAGTGCGTGGCCTTCCTGGCTTTCTTCTTTCCACCCTCTTCCACCTTGCCCTTCTTGTTCTGTCGACGCCAGGCTTGAGTCCAGCGAAGCTTCACCTTGCTCGTGGCACGGGGCCAACAGTCTTCAATGCTCAGAAACGAAAATTCCCTTCGAACAAACATTCTCCTTGTGCTATGCAACCATCACATTGAACACCCACCAAGGGAACATTGACCTAGGCCTAACTCTGGCAAGAGGCCGGCTTGATTCGCTGATGGTACAGGGAATCTGCCTTGGCTGAGATGAAGAAGCTCACCTGTGCCATGCCGGACGATTTGGACCTTTCTGCTGCAAAACATTGCGATGATCTGCCTATAGGATCTGTCTGAATGTGTCTTGTTCGCAACCCATGGGGAAACCCCCCCCTTGCCTTGCCTTGGCATCCTTAGCCACAAATTTTTGGCCGTGGCCGGGATATATCCTGTACCTTAAACATGCAAAATGCAAGGCAGACTCGTCACTGCACAGGAATGGCACGCTGGCTGTTTTTGACATAGCACTCTGTGTAGCTGCAGAGATCAGTCTTGATCACCATGGCTACGGCACAGCTGGACGGGCACGTCTACGTTTCGCGATGCGCCACAAACAGCTGCTGGGCAAATGGAGGCAAAATGCGCAGATACCAAAGCACAGTTCAAGATCGACTGAGATGAAAAATCAAATCCAACGGTCCAGCGCGCCTCTGCTTTAAACGACCAGATGGCCTTCGGCTGCAGCTCGGGGCCAAGCATGACCTCTAGAGCGCGTGTAACAGAAAGCTTCTGAGACCTGGAAGGAAAGCCCAGTCTGCGACCATGCCCTTTCTGAACATGCTTTTCTTCAGCGTCTCCTGCAGTGTGCTCGCACTTGTGGTTTTGTGTTTCTTTCAACACACCTTCGGTCAACTGCCAGTCTCTCTCGGCTTCGAAAGCTGAGTCGCACCAAAAGAGCGTTCAGAGGTTCCCTGGCTTGCCCTCCTCCCCCTGGTGTCCCCTGAAAGGGCAAGGCCCACCTCCCACCTTCAAAGCCTGAACTCACATAGTCTTGCACGACACGGTGACAAGGTGCTGTGGCAAGTCTCTGGCACTACGCGACAGCTGCTTGCAGTGCAACATACATGTCAGGGACGGACCCCAACCACTACTACCGCTGCCGCCGCCACCACCACCACCACCACCACCACCGCCGCCGCCCCCACCACCACC